CTAGGTCCTTTATTATTTCTTATTTATATAAATGATTTGACGACTTCTGTTAATCATGGTACTGCCCGAATGTATGCAGATGATACTAACGTATCATTCTCAGCATGTGTTTTTTCTGAACTTCAACGGCAGATGAAAAAAGACCTGGAACATTTAGAATCCTGGTTTATAGCCAACAAACTTACTTTAAATACAGTGAAAACTGAATATATGGTTGTTGGTTCAAAACAAAGAATAAATTCACTTGTGGGTGATCTGACACTTTCCCTTAATGATATATCTCTACGTAAAGTTAAGAGTACTAAGTGCTTAGGAGTGACAATAGACGAATTTCTCACATGGGCTGAGCACATAGATAATGTAATTAAAAAATTAGCGATCGGCGTTAGTCTTCTACGTAGAAATAGAAAAGTCTTGAAAAAATGCGATCTTATGAATGTATATAGAGCTATTGTAGAACCTTATTTTGATTACTGTTGTATAATTTGGGATGGCATCAGTGACTATTTGGCGTTAAAGCTTCAAAAACTTCAAAATCGTGCAGCACGTATTATTACTGGAGCCGACTATTCGCGAAGGTCCAGTGATATATTAAACGAATTAGGATGGGAGAAGGTGAGTGAACGAAGACAAAAATGCAAAGCAGTGATGATGCATAAAATATTAAACCATAAAGCACCGTCATGTTTCTTAGGTTTATTTAGACCAGAAACTGGTGCCAATTTTTATGATCTTCGTTCTTCAACAGAGAATGTCGAACTTCCACTAATTCGAACTGAATATTACAAGAGAAGTTTTGTTTACTTCGGCGCAAAAGTATGGAACTCTCTTCCTGAAGTTTTGAAAAAAGAGAGTTCATTAAAGCGGTTCAAAGATCTTTTAAAAAATATCCATTTTTCCGCTGATCATTAATTAATTAAATTAATATATATTGCAAACTATAATATACGGCTTACAGGTAGAACAAAACTGTATATGATTTTGACGTAACCACCGTATTGAAATAAAATTTTTAATAATAATAATAATATGTATATATGTATATATGTATATATGTATATATGTATGTATGTATGTATGTATGTATGTATATATGTATATATGTATATATGTATATATGTATATATGTATATGTATATGTATATATATGTATATATATGTATGTATATGTATATGTATATATATGTGTATATGTATATGTATATATATGTGTATATGTATATGTATATATATGTGTATATGTATATATATGTATATATATATATATGTATATATGTATATATGTGTGTGTGTATATGTGTATATATGTGTGTGTGTGTATGTATGTATGGGATGTTTCCACCGAGATGAGATATGCAAACTAGTTGGCCTCTACATCTTAAATGACCTCTCGAGGAAGTTTGGCAGAGATTTTGTTGGACTGTATAGAGACAACGGCTTGGCATTAAAGGAAAGAGTGGATGCGTGATAGACAATGCACGAAAACATCTATGCAAACTCTTCCGCCAATACGATCTAAAGATTACGAGCCGATCTAAAGATTACGCGAGTTACACTTGACCTTAGAAATGAAAGTTACCAACCTTACAAAAAACCCGATAACGAACCCTTGTATATAAACAGCCATTCCAACCATCAATCATCAGACAGATACCACAGTCCATAAACAAACGAATTTTGCAAATATCATCGAATCAATCAGCTTTTGACACATCTGTCCCACTATACAAAAATGCACTCCACCGGAGTAATTACGACGCTAATCTCAATTATGTTCCCAACAACAACACAACAAGCAAACCAAAAAGAAATCACCAGCGAAAGATCATATGGTTCAACCCACCTTACAGCAAGAATGTAAAGACTAATATAGCTAAGAACTTCTTAGAGCTCATTGACAAGCATTTTCCGAAATCGAACAGGCTCCACAAGATCTTCAACCGCAATACAATCAAAGTGAGTTACTCCTGCATGGAAAATTTAAAAAGCACCGTTTCTAGACACAACCACCGTATTCTCTCGAAGACAACAAATGCTACAAACACTTCTAACACAACAGCCGGAGCCGTACTTGAAAAGAAATGCAACCACAGAAAAGCGAATGAATGCCCACTCGGAAAGCATTGCCTGGAAAGCAGCCTTGTTTATCAAGCCGAAGTCACAACGAGATAACGGAGAAATTAAACGCTACATCGGGATGACTGCAAATTCTTTTAAAGAACGTTACAGAAACCACAACAAATCATTTACGAATGACACTTACAAGAACGAGACGGAATTGTCTAAATACATTTGGAAGCTAAAAGAAAGCCGACAACCTTTCACTTTAACCTGGTCAATTTTAAAACATGCCGCGCCGTATTCAAGCAGTGGAAAACAGTGTAGCTTGTGCACTCAAGAGAAATTATGCATCCTGAAAGCAAACAAGAAATTTGTGCTAAATTCAAGATCCGAGATTTTCCCAAAGTGCCAACACCAAAAAAGATTTTTAGCAGGAAATTACGACTAGGGACATGCACATTATTCCTAAAAATTTACCCATTATTCTATTCCTTTATTCCCCCAAATTTCCCAATTATTCTTAAAATTTCTACCTATTATTCTCGAAATTATTCGCCAAATTGTTCGATATCAAGTCATACAAAAATCAATAAAACAACTTTTTATTAACGCTTGTTACATTGTAACATAATGGTAGTTTCCACTAAGTCTTCTAATGCGTTTTGCTGCTGTTCACCAAATGACTGATTCAACATTGAAAATACACGCTCAGCTGTGGCAGATGAAGGTTGCACTAATAGCACCTTCTGTACGGCAGACTAATAGCACCTTCTGTACGGCAGATGACCAGTGTGGAAGACAAGAATCACTTCCAGGACTGCTATGATTTTTCCACCACTCCAAAATATTGACATCAGCATTGACATCAGCTGCAAGTGCCAGGTAGGCAGGTAATTCAGCTTTCAAATTATCAATTTCATCAACCAGGAAAGGAAAAGCCATATAAGGTCATCAAAATATTTTGCAGTAGGTTGGATTTCATTGACTTTAAAAGGTGAAAACAATCTGGCTGCCTTAAAGGCTGCCACTGGAAGCTGAGAATCATTTCCAAGTTTATTCTAAAAATAATCCAGCCCAGCTTGTAGACACCCAATAGAGAATGCAACCCATTGTTTTTGGTCATTGTTGTCAGGAAACGCCTGTCTCACAATGGCTTGTAGATTTGGATAATGTTCAATGCGAATAGCATTTCGGATTTTCAGAATTTCCTCATAACAACTTAGCACAAGGTACCCCATCTCCTTCTAATCTGTAAGTTCCTTTCACAAAATGTTCACCTAAGTCAATCACAGCAGCTAACTCTACCTTCAGTAAAAGCATTGATGGGGGGTGGCTTAGGATTTCCAGCAGTTTTGCTCGTGTAGCTGGGCCAATATCTTCATTATTTTGAAGGAAAGGCTCAATAAAAGCAAACTGGACCATTACCTGATTCATTAGCTCCCATCTACTCCACCAACGAGTTTTAGAATATGATGCCATAGCTCGTCCTGTTGCTTCTTTCCATAATGCTTTGACTTTATAACTGTGACTAAACAAAGCAATCCAGTGAGCAATGAAAAGGCTCAAAGTAGGAGTTTTGAATCTTTCTCCAACAAGGTTAAGCATGTGACTAAGGCAACCAACATCAAGCAGGTTAGGATACATAATTTTGACAATGTTTAATGCAGCGCCATTCACACTAGCTCTGTCTCGCATCACTGCTAACAACTGGTGAGATTCCAAACTTAGTTTGATAGACAAAACAGTGATAAGTTCTCTGGCAAGTTCCTCACCATTCATGCTTTTTGTAAGGAACTTCAGACGAACAAGCCGTTCTTGAATGGTTCAGTTATAAACAAACCGTACAACTACTGCAAGAACTTCACCAAGTTGTGAAGTACCATCAAATGTAATTGACAATTCTCTCCCTTTCAACTCTGTTTTCAAATTGTGCTGTTCTTGTTGGTGAATAAAAGGAACTAAGTCTAAGTCTCTCATGTGCCTGGCGTCTGTTAGTCGGTAACCATTCTCTTGCAAAAGATCTCTCAGTTCTTGACACTCCAACTTTTCCAACGGAATTCCAGCTTTCATAAAAGCCATCAACACTTTAACTCTATATACCTTGCTTTCTTCGTCCAAAGTTTCACCCTTACGATGAGTTTGTCCATCGTTTTTCGCAAGGGCATCAGCTTATATCCCGTTCGCTTGATTGGTTTTGTAGAAGCTTTTGTTTGCTACATTTGTGCTTTGTACTCTTCACATGACTTACTAGTACGCTCTTTTTTAAAACAAGCGACTCTCGGCAAGCTTTGCAAAGTTTGCCACTAGAAACAGTCAAATGTTCCCTGGGAAATTCGCGGATTCGCGGACTTTCAGATGGTGACACTTTTTTCGGATCATAGTTGCGTTTGCCGGTACTGGTAGTTTGTGATCGCTTCTTTCCTACCGGTGGAGGGTTAGCATGGATCTTACGTTTTCTGGCCAAATCCGAAGGCCTTGGAGCTTTTAATTTGTCGAACCAACTCGGCATCTTATTCTCTGGCTTAGAGCTGGATTCAGAACTTTCTCTGACTTCAGTTGGGGGTGATTCTGATTCAGAATTTTCAGATTCTTCGTAATCTGATAATGAAGAAATAACACTAACTTGAACTTCGACTTCGTCATCACTCATTATCATTTATCAATAATTCAATATTCAATTACATCAAGGTTCATCAAGGTTGCAACATCAAGATGCCATGTGCAAAACAAATGGCCGCCATGAGACCAAAAATATAATTTTACACAAAGTACTGCAGAGTGCACACAGTCAGACACACCGCTGACAGCGTAGAAAAGGTACACCACTAACCCACTTTTCATTGCAATGACGTCATTCACAAGAATTGGCCGATTATTCTCATTATTTCAATGTTTTACCTATTATTCCTGGTTGCAAAAAAGTCCCCTATTATTCTAAAAGAAATTCCGGAATAATGTGTGTGTCCCTAATTACGACCGCGCGTAACATATATATGTGCGCACAAGTTATGAAATTATGTACATGGTAAGCAAGCGAGTATCGTCAGCAAACATCAACAAACTGACATTCAGAAGCAAAAACTGTTGCCTGATGATTGCCTTTACGGCATGAAACTCAGTAGTTTCTAAAAATAGTAGCTACCCCTAAAACATGACAGCTATACATGTTGGACATTGTTGCTAAATATGGAAATGTGCATATATTTGCATTATTTCTTGGTAAATTGGATATTCAAGCTTAAAAAAGGTGGCCCAACTTTTTTAAGTTTATGTCTGCACAGGAAAGTAACCTCTAAACTGACATTTGATAAAAAAATTAGCTCTCAGCTGAGAATTAGCTTGATATTTTGGCTTTCCGTTGATATACGTTTTCCATTTGCATATACATTTCAGGCAAAGAAATGGATACAACTTTTTAATTCTCTGAGCAGTGTTTATGATGGGTACACCAAAGAAAATGTCACTCCATATATGCATGCCATGGTGTACCATGTCCTCACACTGATGCGAAAGCATGGTGGTATCAAGAAATTCACAGGGCAAGGTGAGTTATGACAAACACTACTTTAATTACTGTATACTATGTACTGATGAAGTGATCAATACATGTATTTTACCAGTGTACATTATTCATAGGCATTGAACAGAACAATGATGACTGCCGAAGCATTAATCTAACTAAATCTAACAAGTGGGATGCTGCTAAGGATGTCCTCCTTGTTTCCAATAGAGTAGAAATCCTTTCAAGCTTTCGTCGTACACCAAGTATGTACCCAAAGCGAAACGCCCAGTACTGGGACAACGACCTAAAGGAGAAGCAAGCAAAGATTAAGCATAAGATGAAGGATGAGAATAAACAAATCGATGCAAATATTCAATCAAATGATGAGCCAAGTGTGGAGAGTATGTCACCTGCAGAGCTTCGGGCAGGCTTTAAGCACAGTATGGCATTAAAACTTGCATAAAGAATGTAAAACGACTCACAATGGTCAGAATGCGCAAATTTTCTCCCACTTGTCTTGTGCGGGCTCATTTTGTCAGTGGAGTTTCACGGTATACTTGAAAATACCATGTCATATTCCGTCATTTCCCATGTAAATAGCAAATTCATGAATAACACTTATATGAACACACAAATTTGAATTTGCATGCTAGTCTTTTGAATATAACGATTGTAAAAGGTTTCTGTGTGATCTAGATACCTAAACTGTAATACTGCCATACATTTAATCTTGTGTTTGTTACTTTATAACTTTATTGGGAATACTAACGATAAATAGGTATTACTCAAAAAGAAACGTGCGAACAGGTCAGAAAAAGCCCATGCGAGGCACCTCCCTTAAACTTTACAAAAAAATTACATTACACTAAATTATAGTTGAGGTAAAGCTCGATTTGCGCATACCCACAAAAGATCTCCCAAATACGTAAAATGCAGATTTTGGAATATTTGTACGGAAAATAAAACTAACTTGATTTTGAACACATGTGACTTTGGCCTTTAAAAGGAAAGAACTTTACTTCAATCAAAGAACTGTACATTATTTTAATTTCTGTGACATGCAGAGTCTCGAACAAGAGACCAGGTACATGGCATGTCTAAGTCAAAAACTTAATTATGTAAAAACAAATAAGTCCGACGAAGAAAGTTCTTAAAAGTAAATAATGTCACGAAGCTATTAGGTGATGCAGTTCTACACACTACATTCCATAAATGAACTGTTCGATTAAAATAAGAGTTTTTAAATGTAGTTGTTCTACATAACGGCACTTGAAATAATAGACCAGGATTTAAGGTTAGTCGAGAACGATCATGACTAACAAAACTAGCATGATTGCCTATGTCTACATAACCATATGGTGCCTTATAAAAGACCAAGTCTTGGATTTCTCTGTCATAACACAGCGGCACCATGTCCAAAGTCTCTTCTGGTACGATATCCCATCTATTCTTGATCTTAGGATCCATCTTGTCGCACGTCGTTGTATTCTTTTGATCTTGACTTTGAGGAAGACATTGGATGGAGACCAAATTTCAGTACCATAGCATAACTTTGACTTTACAAGCGATAGGTATAATGAACGCCGGATTTTGGTTTCCATCAATAAAGGACAAGTTCTCTTTAGGAGACCAAGCTGTTATCATTTGAATATGTGAGTTCCACAAGAGATTGTCTGTCACGATGACGCTGAGATCTTTTTCTTTCCAGACACGAAGCAATGAGGATGAGCCCAGATGATAGTCGTTATTTGCACAACAGCAGTTGCTGTGGAATTAAAATTGTGTGTCATATGATATTTTTAATAGGCAAATATAGCATTTGAGATATAGCAACATTAGCAAATGAATACACTAAAATCTTGGTTAGCACACCAACTTTTACCACTTTTAATGCAATATTAGTCAACTTATAAAAGAACTTGAATTATTCAACTATATAACTCCTAAGACAGACAGATGCAATAATCCTTTATAGGTTTTATTACAAATATGTAGACATTTGAGATGCCGTCAATGTCTGAAAAAAGGTTATTTAAAGCCTTTAAATAAACGACTTTGATGCACAATTTCTGGCTTTTACCATAATTATGCCATGATGGTTTTATTCGCTGCATTATAAACCTCCTCCACACAATACCCCTTGTTGAAAATATCAAACATTTCAAATGCAATTGAGATATGAAATCTCAACAAGAAGACAATTAAAGATGGCAAATCAGTCAAAAGTGCAAATCAAAACCCATATTTACACGGTGAGTACGAGCAATTTCTGATCGGTTTCGACACCATAGGTTGACACCATGAAGATAAACATTATTTTAAGTTTAGAGATTTCTGGTTTAACAAAATCACTGTCACAAATAGCAAATGTATCCTTGCGGAGGGTACCTTGAGGCACATTTTGTGATTTTACACAAACATGCACACAATATAGGAAAATCTGCTGAATTTAAAATCAGTTTTATGGTACTGTGCATTCAAAAATGACAAGGACAAAGACTTGGGGCATACACAAAGTCCATGTAAATCCAATTTTGGGCAAAAAGTGGGGTAACTTTGGGCATCTAAAAAGTGCAAAATACTACCCAAGGGACACTACCCCTATTATAATTTTGGAAGACTGGTGAAACAATGTAATAATGGGAAACTAAGTCTGAGAAGACGTGCAAAATATATTCAAAATAATGTGCAAACTTGCTTGAAATTTATTTCTCCTGCTATAACTAAATCCTGCTGCTTGAAATATGACACCACTAAATCCCAAGTGGGAGGAAATTGAGCAAATCTGATCATTGTGACTGCAAGAAATGCTTCGGTCCTGTTTGCACTAAAAATACACATGGAGGCATGTAAATTAGTTAGGCATTGTTGCACATATTTTGTCTTCTCTCTGTTTTTTTGTAAATAAACATTACCTCAAAAAGAAAGGTTAATATGGAGATGTTGATGTATTCTATATATTTAAATTATCTGTGTTATAGCGGCATCGTAAAATGTCAATACAAAGTGTCTCAATAGGCATTTGAGGTGCATCAGTCAATTTGCCATCTTTAAAGATTTGGTGCTTAGGAGTCCAACTAATTAGCACTGGTTTAATTTTAAGATGTTGTATTGCCTGCCCCTCTCCATGGCCATGTTTATCCAAGGGGTACCACCAATGCTTTGGTAGCCTCAAATGTGCCAAATCTTTGAGAGCCTACAACCAAAATCCTTTGTGGTTTGATTCCTTGCCTTTCCCACAGATAATGTAATGCCAAAGGCCCAAGTCCATTGGAATGTAGGTAGGTGCCACAGATTTTGATTGAAGGCTTGTTGTAATGAGCTGGTAAAACTGCTGACATGCTGTTTCCAATCGTTCTGGATGTGGTGGTATTTCATAACCTCTAGAGATTAAAGTAATTGTTATTATTTTATCGAGTTTCAAAAACAAGATTACAATGGCTACCAAGTTGAAGTTTATTCAAAACAGTAAATTAAAATAAACAACTAAATTTTTTGACTACATGCCACTGGCACAACCTTGCTCAGGTGTAATTTTTACCTCAATAACTCTTCATCAAGATGGACTGAAGGTTCCCATGAACAGGTTGTAAGCGGCCAGCCATCCCATTTTGTTAAGGTAATTCCGCAGTAATTGTTCCCGAAATGAGAATGTGCTGAAACTTCCCAGGCATGGAGTTTGTGATATACTTAAAGCAAAATCACACAAAAATGTCGGGGTCACCGAACTCGTTAAGAAGATATGACAATCACAATATACCACCTTTACCCCAATATGGCGCCATCTTGACGCTCATTACGAGTAACAGCAAAATCACAACAGCCTGATACTTATTGACGTTTTTAGTGCGGATTTTGCTTTAGTAAACCTATCTTGTAATGAAACTACTAATGTGTACAATTCTGATCCACAAATGTCTTTTCCACATTTCTTTACATGTCTTTCTTTGAGAACATGCATTGATAAAGGATTTTTTTTCAAGATCCAGAAATGATTTTTCTTTTAATTTCGGATATGAAATGTAAAATGCATTAAAGAAATAAATTATCAATTAAAAAACGGGGGTCACCGATCTTTTTAGGGAATTGTGGCATTAAAATGTGAAATACAAGTAAATAAATATACTACAGACACGGAGAACCCCCCTAGCTACACTTTTGTATGCCTTTTTTTGAAAACCTTTATTTTAACGTAATTCTTTGCACGAATTTAACCAAAGATGTTTTGAAGTAACATAAAATTGTCATAAAGTGATTTTTTTTTAAACGCGGTACGTATAATGGATGAAATTATAAGTTATAAGATGTGTGCAGTAAAAGTACGCAATGCAAAACTGCGGAATTACCTTAAACACTCGTATTCCTAATTTGAAAATAACAGTAATATAGAGGAGTAAACACATGGGGTGCTTGTCTGGGTAGATTCTTTACAAAGATGCTTCATTGATGAAGATAGTCCAATGAGAAATATAGCTAATGAGAACTTTGACGTTTTGAGCTAAGAACCTTTGTCTATTATAGTATTATAAAGTAATTTAATAGTATAAACGCACTACAATGACATTTAATATGACCACAAAATGAAAAGACTACATGACTGAAAATAAAAATATTAACTTTAAACACAATTATACTTACATTTTTGATCTTTCGCTTAGAAATTCTTTCCACAATGTATTTAGTCGGAAGAACCTTTCTCTTTTTCCACGGTGTGTAGTAGTTGACCTGCATCTAAGGACGTAAATGAGCTTATATTCAGTTATAAAATTTGCATAGCCAAAAATCTCAAATTTGATTGGTTACATAAAGGATATGTGCTAATAAGGTGCATAATAGCAACCTAAGTGTAGATTTTACTGTTAGATGGACAGATGAAGATAATTATATTATCAAATATATAGAGAATAATACATGGGTGCACAGAAATATTATATAGTTTATATAATAAAGAATTAAAGATATATAATTATGTTGTTATGAACTGATATTAAAAGTATAGATCATTCCGCATTGAAATAATGACTACAAAATTTAAAAGGACATGTCACAATTAGACGTACATTATATTAATGTTCAGACATTGTTGTACCAGGACAAAATTCCATTTGCATTACATGTTGCATGAAACAAATTTGGTAGAATTTGCACGAATATATGAACAGAACCAACTAAAGAATAAAAGAATGATCGAATAGATAGCCATACAAGCGAACTCATTATGCAACTCGATGTCATAACTCGTTCACTCCTTTCAAGCTAAAGCCTTAATTAAAGGCAAAGCGGTGAGTAAGCTATAACTACCTTCAGTGACATAGCCGTTCCAGACACTTCAATGTTTGTCATCATTTTTTTTCAAAATTGATTAAAAACAGCGCCTCGTCCCCTGCTCCCCTCTTCAATGTTGATTAATGGCAAGTTTGTATAAGTAAAAAGCCCTAAGAACACCAACAAGTAATATATTTGGCCCTATGTTTTTATATTCAACAATGAAAGGGGGAGGGGGCATGCATATCAGATAATTTAAAGTAATGTCCGGATGGTTTGTCACTGATTGTCTGCGTTGTTTTTGTGAGAATTGCTTTGTTAAATCAGGTTAAATCATCAATAAAGTTAACGTTTTTTATAAAAATGCATTTCCTTGTGTTAAATTACTTCTCTTTCCTATACTTTTGATAAAGTATTTTGGAAGGAATTCAATAGTATATTACGTCATAATATGGAAGGTTATCATTTATGTGGCAACGCATGCAACATACTTATAATTATCGTACGATGCTATATTATTGTAAGGAGTGATTTCATATAGCTACACAATATATGAATATATTTAGCATTAGGACATCAGTACTTAGGAAAATGGATCCCAGTTCAACTGCTGATGTCGAGCTAAACAGCAGAGATTTGCAAAGGGTTTATCTTATAACATATAGTCAGGCTGATGTAAGTAAATTTCCCACCAGAGTGTCTTTTGCTGAAGCCGTTATTGCAGCCTTTTCCAAGGTTACAAGATCATCACAACATTACCGGCGGAATTCACTATCACATGTGTGCCAAAATAAAAATTTGCCAACGCTGGCTACCAGTAAAGAAATTCGTCTCAGATTCCTATGGTATATCTGTTTATTTCTCAAGTCTTCATGCCAATTGTTATACTGCCTGTCCTGCCTGTTTTGCCCGATTGGTTTGTGGATCCTTCTACTAAACAGTAGAAATGAATAAATAAATTGCGCATTTCGTGCAAATTATGAATTGGTGTGATAATCCTATATTATATTAATCCAGGTTAGCACATGCTACCACACACGCTACCACTATCAGTGAGTAAAGTGCATTATATGTATCTTTATGTATTCAATGCATGGTAGCATGTGGTAGCGTATGGTAGCGTGTTGTAATTTCCCTGTATATTAACGGTATGAGTAATTCATTTCACGTCTCATTAATAGAGCTAAAGCTCGTTCATGTGAGCTTACTTTTCTGTATGATCTCATTTTGTTTCAGTTAATTCAACTAATAATACACCTTTATGACATCATCTATTAACATTTCTACTTATATTTTTGAATAAATTGTTCCCTTTATCACCACCAGTTTTTTTATGAAAATTATTGTTGTCCATTGAAAAAAAATTGACATTTAACTGAGTGCAACTAGGCCAAGGTTGTGCAGACAATCAGTGACATAACCGTTCCGGACACTTCGATTTTGTCATCATTTTTTTCAAAATTGATTAAAAACAGCGCCTCGTCCCCTGCTCCCCTCTTCAATGTTGATTAATGGCAAGTATAAAGTAAAAAGCCCTAAGAACGCCAACAAGTAATATATTTGGCCCTATGTTTTTATATTCAACAATGAAAGGGGGAGCGGGCGCGCATATCAGACAATTATATGTAATGTCCGGATGGTTTTGTCACTGATTGTAGTAACAAAATTTTCCTGCGGTTTCGTTTTAAGATATACATAAGTTTAACACAAACATTTCACAATGAGAAATATAGTAGGCCCATTTTTAATGTCACTAGACTTAGTTCATATTTGCATAACTTAATTATATGTGAGCTTTTGCAGTACAGACTGCAAACATGCTATAACAAACAATTTGAGCCATGCCTCCAAGACCAAGACTGGTAATTAGACAAGCCCGAAAATTAATTTGTCCAGCTGAATGAAATATGCTTCGCGAAATGTACAATTTTTACAGGCACGCAGCTTGAGTATAGGTTTTCTATCTACATATACAAATTGTCCTTTGTAGTAATAGTAAAGACTAAAGACAAATTCCATTGGGCAGATTAACAGTGGGTTGCAAGCATTACCTATATTTCATGACCATGCAAATTACAAAACAAATAACTAAGGAAAACATATTTAGCATACAAAGAAAGGTAATGCAACAGCCAATAGAATCTTACTATTTTGCATTTAGCCATGTTTTGCATATAGGTCATATTGTGAGAGCCAATAAGAAACAGTAGATTAATGATTTTAATGAGGCTTTACGTCCTTAGATGCAGGCCAACTAGTGCAACAACTGAGGACAAGGAATCCAATTGTTGGAAGTCGAGCACATTTCTTTTTCTCACCACCATATTGAATTTACAGGTTTGCAACAGGCTTGCATGCTAAAATCAGGGGAGCAACCGCTGTACAGCATGCCCGGCACATGACCGAGGTAGTTGGCGATGAAATCAGATACCTTGGGTTATTTTTTCCACTGGGACATTCAGGAATGAATTTTTGGCAAGTGATTTGACTTTGTTTGGACACCACACATTACTCTATTGATGTACTTGTATATCATGTAGCATTACTAGACTAGCAACTACAATACAAGGAAAATTTGTATTTCTTGATTTCTTAGCAAATTTGCCTTCTTACCAAGAGTTATAAATGGTGTAGTAAATCTGTCCTGAACAGCATGGAAACTTTCCATTAAAACATTGTTTACAATTAAGTGTTGCACAAATAGCATCAGCATCATTCTTAAATGTATTTTGGTCCACACCATAGTGAACAATATGATTGAATCCTTTACTTTCAACATCTTTTTTTACTTAGAGCCTTTAAATGTAAGTGCAAGTTGCTTGATATTAACCTTTGAATTTACAGCAATCATTTCTTCCAGACATTGACCACTTCTGTAGTGTATTCCTTATGGGGTAATTGTTGGCTTCATACCATGGGCGAATTTACTGGGGGGGGGGGGGTAAACCACTCCTAGAATCTCTCTAACCCCTTTTATAAAGTGTTCCACCCCACCAAAATTTTGCTTCACCCCACCTATTTTGTGTGAAAGTCTTTGACCCTAACGCCTATTAACCCCTGCCAAAGCTTGCTCTGTGGTGCTGCTTGCACCTCACTAGAGAAATGAAAATCCACCCTTGCTTCAGTACAGTTGTCACAACTTGTTTCACAAGATACTTCTGGTTCATTGTCAAAGTCGTCAAAAAATCACTTTCCTCCTGCATTGTGTGAAGTCATGCAGTATGAAACCATGACATTCAATGCATGGTGCATATGGTCTATGTACTCATCAGAAATTGAGGATGCAATTAGTTGAATCAGCTCATTTCTATCCTCAAACCTGAACACAAGTATACAATGTGCAATGCTCCCATCATACCCAGCTCTTCCAGCTTCTTGACTAGTCTTGGAATGACCTTGGCATGCTCAGATGAACAACACACTGGACATTCGGCTTGTCAATGCCCATAATGATGATAAGAACCAGGAGGACGAAATAGAAACCGAAGAACAAGTAGAGTTGAGAAAGCTAGAGAAATTGGATCTTATTGAAACTAAAGTGAAGTCAGTCGAGCAAGAGCTGAGAAGTATGAAAGATTCAATAGAATTTGCGCATTCAGAAGTTAAAGATTTGAAAAGCGACAACGAAGAACGCAAAAAAACGGACGAGCTAACGAGACAACAAATAGAAAAATTGGAGAAAGAAAATGAAATTTTACACAAGAGCGTCATTGATCTTAAAACAAGGTCAATGCGCGATAACTTAGTGTTTTATAACATAGACGAAAACAAGGATGAGAACACTACAGATATAATTCATCAAATTATGGAACATAAATTGGGCATGGAGAATGCAGCAAGGGAAGTGAAGATCAATAGATCCCACAGACTGGGAAAACAGAGATTTGGAGCAACGAAGCCGCGACCAATTGTCGCCAAATTTAAATTTATCCCGACCGCGAACGAGTTCTACAAAACGCAAGAAAACTGAAAAGAACAAAAATAGGAATTGGTGAACAGTTTCCTGATGAGAACTACTTCTATATCCAGAACTAAAGAAGGCAAGAGATGCGGGTAAAAAGGCGAAACTGGTTAAGGACAAACTTATTATTGAGGGTCAGATTTTTTACAAGCCGACG